GGCAATTTTTTTTTTATTTTCTGAAAACAATTTTTTGAAAGTGCCTCCCGGGCCAAGCACTCGGCAAAGACATTTTGTCGAGTGCTCCCCATGGCACTCGGCAAAATATATATATTTTTTTTGATTTTGGACCCAATTTTTTTTGTGTAGCCTTGTGACAATATTTAAAAGTCTACTCTAAAATTTGGTGAAATTTTGACTTTTTTAGGTATATTTCATTAATTTATTTGGTTTCGTTGATTTTTTCAACAGATTTCAAATTTGAAATGCAGTGTCCATGGAATAATGGAATTTGGTCATCCAAAAATTGATATTCATGATATTTAGCTTATGTTGAGGTCGTATCGAGAGTCACATGAAATCTGAGCATCTCGTTGACGTAACATGTCGAGTTAGTTCTTGGGAAAAGTGAATTTAAATTATATAAAATCCAAACGAAGTCCGAAAATCACGAAACTTGTGGAGGCATCGTGTTATCGATGTGAGGCTGTGGTAAAAATTGATAAGATTCGAGCAAGTAGTGACGTCGGATGCCAAAAACCCAGACATCTCCACGTGTTATCACTTCGTTTCACATGTGGAGATGTCTTTTTGGCATCCAACGTCACAACTTGCTCGAAACCTTCTCAATTTTTTAGCACAGCCTTCTGCGATAAGTTTCGTGATTTTCGGACTTCGTTTGCATTTTATATAATTTAAAATCACATTTCCGGCAAGTACCTCAACATGTTACGTCAACGAGATGCTCGAGATTTCATGTGAGTTCCTGGATACGGCCTAAACATACTCTAAATATCATGAGTATCAATTTTTGGATGACCAAAGTCCATTGTTCCATGTACCTGCAGTTCAAATTTGAAATATCTCGAAAAATTCGACGCAACGAAATAAACTAATGAAATATATAAAAAAAAAGTCAAAATTGCCCCAAATTTTAAAATAGAGTTTGAATATCTTGTCACATATTGAAAAAAATTTGGGCCCAAAATCAAAAAAGTTTGCCGAAAGTGCCATGCATGGGGCACTCGGCAAAGTTGATTTTAAAAAAATGCCGAGTGCCCGGTACTGCACTGCAAAATAAGTTTTAAAAAAAAAAAAAAAAAAATTTGCCGAGGGCCCAAGGATTACACTCGGCAAAATATGTTTTAAAAAAAATTGCCGAGTGCCTGGGGCTGGCACTCGGCAAAATAAGTTTTTAAAAATAAAAAAAAATTGCCGAGTGCCGCCCCGGGGCACTCGGCAAAGTTGATTTTCAAAAAAATTGCCCTAAAAGCCCACCCCAACCCCTTGCTGGCCCAACCCTCACGCCCCAGCCACGCCTTCGCTCCAGCACACAGCCCTGCCCGCCGCGCTTCACCCCTGCATTGCAGCGCTTTTGCCGGGCGAAGCCGCCCTCGCTCTCGCGGCGCCGCGCCCTCGCCCGCCCTACCGCGCGACCGCGCCGCTGTCGCCGCCTCAGTCCGTCACCCGCCTCCAAGAACGGCGCCACCACCGTCGCTGCCTCCAAGAACGGCCTCTCAAGCGTGCGTTGTGCGTCGCGCTCTCCCTCAGCGCACACGGCGCAGCAGCCTGCCGGTGCCCTCAGCTGTCCCATGCGTGGCCCCCCTTTCGATGATGGCCGCCATGGAAGAAAGAAGCGGAGGTGCGACGCCCCGAGCCCTCGCGCGCAGCTAGCCTGAGCTCATGGCCGCGCCGGACGAAAGCGGAGCCCTTCGTTGGTGAGATTTTCTAATCTTGTCATTAGGATTAGGGTTTCGAGAGAAATTGGGGATTTACCCTTGGTTTTTGGCTTTGGTTTCTCTGTTGGAAAACTCATCTCCCTTTTTGTGTGCTTATCTCAGGTTAATTTGGATTAAATTGCCATCTATGCATAAGATTTGCATATTATCAGAGGCTAATTTTAACTCATGCAGTCACGCAGCAGCCGCTGGTGGTGCTGTGGGATGTGCTGGTCGCTGTAGGACGAAGATGAGCATGTTCCAGCTGCTGGTGCTGCACAGGGAGGGGCTCGTTGGCTGCCGACTCTGCGAGACGCTGGTGCTGAACTGTCGACTCACGGCTTCTACTTTCCTGTGCATAGTAAGGTCTATTATGTGTGTTAGCTGTATAACCCATTTTTTTATAGAGATGCTCATGTTAGAAGCAGCTAAAGCTACAACAGAGACTGTTGATGCATTGAGAACTGGAGCTGCAGCGATGAAAGCAATGCAAAAAGCAAGGTTAGATGTTGCTCAGGTGTGGCTGCTACCATTTATTCAACATTTCTCAGCGCTAGATGTTGCAACTCGTGCTTGTCTGAATAGGAGTTTCAGTAACTAGTGCAGCAGCACAGCTCATTTTTATTATGAGTTCTATTGGATAATAATCATTGTACTGGAACTTCATATTGAGTGTTTGTGTTTGAAAAGAACTTCATATTGAGTGTTTGTCATAAAGAAAACATATTACTTTCTCCAAAGTTTATTAACAAATGTGAGCTCTATCTCAGAAAATATATTCCTCTCATGTTTACCTCTTACTAAATAAACTTGAACTGATCTGACTCAGTACAGACAAGGATCTTTGGTTTGATCTATGTGATTATGTAGTTGCAACTGTAGTAGGTACAAGTTTTAGATATTTGTTTGATCAATGCAGTTTAGGCATTAAGTAAACTGCTGCTTTTTTAATAAAAAATAATGTTATCTCATCTTGATATAATCAGAGAACACACCCCTGCTCTTGTTTAGTTACTTGTTTAGTTGCTGCATCATACTTGTTTAGTTGCTGCATCATACTTGACTCCCCACTGCAAAAATGAAACTAAGTACTCCATGTTCAGCCACTAATCTATTGCTCATCACAATTAGTTTTCAGTTTTGACATTTTCTTGCCAAATTATTTTTCTGTCTATTGGTAGCAGTAGTATCAGGATGTTGTATTATTCCCCTCTAATAAGCATCAGCAGCTGCTACAATTCCTTCCTGTGATCAGTTCTCAGAATTCTGATTAACAACTTGGCAACTGAAGACTATAGGTTTTTACTTAGAAACTCATATATACTGTACGGTCACCTAAAAAATTCCCCTTTAACCTTTGCAGATTCTGTGCTCCGCTCGATTTCTTCCTACCTGAACTTGCTTGGTGTTTGTACGGTCACCAAAAAAATTCCCCTTTAACCTTTGCCCCTTGATTTCGTTTTCTGTGTGTATGGGTTGATTTGCCTTCTGCCAATACAATCTGAGCATGTTTGTATGCGTTGTGCTACTGCTGTGATCTTCTCAACATATATAACCATAAGCCAATAATGCTGCTGATTTTTTTTTTATCCTGAGCATATGTCATTGCAGATGATGTAGCCATTCCAATTTTACCATATACCAATGCCTACGAGGTACGATGCCTATGCTGCTGATTGATTTATTTTATCCCCAGCATATGCTATTGTTGATGAAATAGCCATTTCAATTTTACCATATGATAGTGCCTACGAGGTGCATCCAATAAACCTGAGCATATTTCCATGCCATTGTTATTTTGTATTTTTTGCTGACTATATTTCGGTGCCAATGATGCTGCAAACAAGTGTCTTTTTTTTCTTCTCAAATATGGTATATGAGAACAGCCATGATTATTACTCTTTTATCATCGTTTCATTCTCATCTGATCTGCATTTGAAGTGAGGCCTCAACATATGTTATGGCTAATACTCGGTCTTTTATGATATTGCTATTCCAAGTTTATTGAATTGATGCAATTGGCATATGGAGTGACACAAACCATTACATAAATATTGTCCTTTATGTTATTCTTAGTAAACTGAGGCACTTGGCATATGCAATGATGACCTACTTTTCCTAGCCTATAATCCAATCTTATTTCCTGCACTTGACTGCTAACTGGAAAAAATGTTGCTGTCCGGGCTTTATGTTTTTCTTCAACTGTGTTATACTATGCTCTTATCCTCCAAAAAAAAAACTTGTTTACGGTATCTTGTGATGTAACCAATCCTCTGCTTTTAGTCTAACATATGCAATCTCTTCTCTTTTGTGCAGCCTCCGTCAAGTGGTTCAAACAATCCCGCTACCGTGTCACCGGCGGCTGATCGGGTCAACCCTTCGCCGCAATCCGGTCCTTCACCGCAGTTCGGGGGGCCACACCTGCAGTCTCCGCCGCCACAAGAGGGTTGTTGAACTTTGTGATGTTGAACTTGTAATAATAAACTTGTGATGTTGAACTTTGGTGCATTTGTGATGGATTTTCGATGAATTTATTAAATATGCATGTGCTTGTGATATATAATGCATGTTGGTGATATAGATGTGATGATTGATGTATATATATATATATATTGTCTGTTACAATGGAATATAAAAAAATTTTGCAATTCTCGGGGTCTTTGCTGAGTGCCATGGGCAAGGCACTCGGCAAAGATTTTTCAAAAAAAAAAAAATATAATTTCTTTGCCGAGTGCCTCGCCGCGGCACTCGGCAAAGTATTTCTTTTAAAAAAATTTAGAAATTCTTTGCCGAGTGCCTAAACAGGGGCACTCAGCAAAGAAATTATTTTAAAAAAAATAAAAAAAAACTTTGCCGAGTGCCTGGGCAGGGGCACTCGGCAAAGTACTTTTAAAAAAAAATAAAAAAAACTTTGCCGAGTGCCTGGGCTTGGGCACTCAGCAAAGTAATTTTTTAAAAAAATATTTTTTTTTTGTCGAGTGCTGGGTCGGGCACTCGGCAAAATAACCGTTAACGGCCGAAAATATTTTGCCGAGTGCCGCCCCAAGCACTCAGCAAATTTTTTTGTATTTTGCCGAGTGCCTCGATAAAAAGCACTCGGCAAAGACCCTTTGCCGAATTTTTTTTTTGCCGAACAGACTTTGCCGAGTGCTACACTCGGGAAAGCCTTTGACGAGTGCAAAGGGCTCTTTGCCGAGTGTAAAAACACTCGGCAAAGCCGCGGCCTCCAGTAGTGACGAGTTTGTTGACCTGCACACCAAGCTCATCCATTTCACACAGGCAATGGCCACAGGTGATCGCCGAAGTGCAACCGAGATGCTGAAACAGATCAAGTAGCACTCCTCTTTTAGAGGGGATGCCACACAGAGGTTGGCCTATTGTTTTGCAGAAGGACTAGAGGCCCGACTTGCTGGCACAGGGAGCCAGGTGTACCAGTCGCTCGTGGCAAAACGCACATCGGTTGTGGAGTTCCTCAAGGCATACAAGCTATTCTTGGCAGCCGTCAGCCTCAATAAGGTGCATATCATCTTCCCCAACAGGAACATCGTGGATGCCGTGGCAGGGAGGAGCAAGTTGCACATTGTGGCATATGGTGTACAGTATGGTTTACAGTGGCCAGGCTTGCTACATCTCCTGGCAGGTAGAGAAGGTGGACCTCCAGACGTGAGGTTCACTGGCATTGACCTTCCGCAGCCTGGGTTCCGCCCAACCTACCAGATTGAAGAAACAGGCCGCCGGCTTAGCAACTGTGCCCGCGAATTCGGCGTGCCATTCAAGTTCTATGCTATAGCAGCAAAGTGGGAGACAATCTGTGCTGAGGACCTCAACATTGATCCAGATGAGGTGCTTGTTGTGAACAGCGAGTGCCACTTTAGCAACTTGATGGATGAGAGTGTTGACGTTGACACCACAAGCCCCAGAGATTTGGTGCTCAACAACATTCGAAAGATGCGACCCAATATTTTCATCCAGATTGTCAATAATGGCTCATATGGTGCTCCATTCTTCCTGACACGGTTCCGGGAGGCACTATTCTACTACTCAGCACTATTTGACATGCTGGATGCAACCATTCCCCGCGACAATGATGTACGGCTGCTGATCGAGCGGGATATTGTTGGGCGATCTGCCCTGAATGTTATTGCTTGTGAGGGTGCAGACAGGTTGGATCGCCCTGAGACTTATAAGCAATGGCAGGTGCGGAACCACCGGGCTGGGCTCAAGCAGCTGCCGTTGAATCCAGAGGTTGTAAAGCTTGTGAGGGATAAGGTCAAGAAGTATTACCACAAAGACTTTCTCATTGATGAGGATCATCGATGGTTGTTGCAGGGATGGAAAGGGCGGGTCCTCTTTGCCATGTCAACATGGGTTGCTGAGGATTATGAATGATAGCTCCATCTTTTAGCTGCTTCACTTCACCTCGTTTTGGATTATTAATGATATTGATGTTTGATAGATGGTCTGTCTTTATTTTACTACCAAACTATGACCCAGCATCTGTGGCCCACTGGACTTCTGTTTCTAGAGGGTTTCAGTGCTGAAACTTTGTAAGCTGGAAATAAGTAGAACAATAGATGCTTAGAGCTATATAGTATGTAGATATAGTTCTGGATATGTTGCAGAATTGTGATGTGTACACCAACCTATAACTGATAAGCAATTTTATTGATTACTTATTCGACTTTTTATCTGTCTCTTCCAGTTCTGTTTCTTCTGTATCATTAGACTGTTGTCATTTCCCTTGTGTCTAGGCGTGACTATCAAATTTGCTCTTATTAATCAAATTATTCTATTTGGCTGGATATCTTCCATCATTTTCTCATCCAGACAAGTACAGGTACATGTGTTCACTGGATTCAGGATTATGTGATGTTTCTGCAATATGGGAAGAGTCAGGCTTGGATCTGCTGAATGTTACGATATAAAGATCGTCTGCAGCAAATCTGCTAGGATTCTATTAATACCGATCTTCAATAAAGCTACAGTTGCCTTGGATAAACTTACTGTTCAAAGTCTGATGTTTCTTGTTTGCACTAGTCATTTCGTGCACTATGTTTTTCCTTATGCAATATTTTTGCCTGTTTGTTCAATCTCACAGGTTGAGCATTTGTGGTTCTATGTCTTGTTTATTTCTTTTCCAGTTATGGGGCACTAACAATTTGGTTCATCTGTCCATGTGTGGAACAGGGGAGTGCACCTGACCAAACGTGGACAAGTTGATTATGACTGCCTGACATTGGGACAATTGAAGCGGGTAGAAGCAGGTAAAGATTAGTCTGTTTTTTGTTCTGTTCATCCATGTCACTATATTATGCATATACAACAGAGTCGCAAATTCAGAGTGCCAGGTATTTGATACTGCAGAGTTTGGTCAAGCAAAAGAATTTTTTTTTCCAGCTGTGCAGGACAAAACAGAGACTAACCTATTTTATCAGCAGGTGTTTGATTTTTTTTTCCTCAAAAAAGCAGCAGAAGATGTACCCTGGACATTTTTTTAGCAAGCACTGAGGTCAGTGCTCTCGGCCACCTCTGCAGCATTCGTCTTCTCCGAACTTTCCTTTGTTGATTGACTGACTACTAGTTCCATTCCGAAAAGCATAACTTTCATCCACCCACACTCTCCACAAGGCATCGCCGTTGTTGGACTATTATCTCACCAAGTCACCAGCAGATGGCCGCCGCCGCGCCGAAGGGCGAGGGCCTCTTCGCTGACCCCGAGCCCATCTCCCCGTCCATCTTCCTCGACCTGCCCCCGACGCCCCGCCCCGATGGCAACGGCGAGGTCCTGGCCTCGTCGGACGACCTCGTCCTCCCCTTCATCACGCGGATCCTCATGGAGGAGGACATCAACGACCAATTCTTCTACCAGTTCCCCGACCACCCCGTGCTCCTCCAAGCCCAGGAACCGTACGCGCAGATCCTCTCTGACGCAGCCACGGCCACCGTCCCGCCGTCCTCCTCCGACGGCCCAGCCCAGCTCCTCCTGTCCCCGCCGTACCCCGATACGGGACTGCACGGCTTCACCGACGACGGTGTCGGCCCCTTCTTCTTGCCCGCACAAGATGGTGGCAGCCCGGAGTTGGAGCAGAGTCCGGCGCAGTTAAGGGCCGCCGGCGACGGCGACGGCGACCACGCGGCGCTGGCCTCGGTCTTCTTCAACAGGGGAGACGCGGACGCGGAGATGCTCAACAAGGCATTCCTCGAGGGTATGGAGGAGGCCAAGAAGTTCTTGCCCACCACCAACAGCCTCCTAATCGACCGTGAGGCAGAGGAGGAGGAGTTGGGCATTAATGGCAGGGGCCGCAAGGACAGGGACAGGCTCAGTTGGGATGACTTGGAGGCTGAGACATGCCGGAAGAGCAAGCTGATGGTGCCTGAGCCTGAGGAAACTGGCGAGGTGGTCGATGAAATGATTGTCAATGGACTGGAATTGTGCCTCAAAGAAATGGAGGCCCTGCGAATCACCATGGGCAGTGAGGCTAAGAAGAAGGCAAGGAAGGGCAAAGGGAAGTGGGCTCAGGGAAGCGGCACCCATAGGCAGCGGTCGGCCTGCGGCCACGTGACATGATGACAGGACCGACTGTACAGATTCAACCGAGCAAGCACTAGTCCAATCAAGGCTCATCCATGTGAGAACTTAGATTTAAGCAAGTGCAATTTGTTTATTTATTGGCACTGTATTCTTTAACAATTTATATATATGTAGTTGTAAAGAGACGTGAGGACATTGCATCTCTTTTTCTAAAGGATGGTATAATCAAGACATTCGTATTCTTTAGAAAACTTTGGTTGAAGAAATCATATAAATAGTACTGTAAGTCTCTTCCTCTCTTTTATACCTATATATTTTGAAACTGCCACCACGGTGTTTGAACTATTAATATTGTAATTTGTGGATTTTTTTAGCTTAATCTTTAAATTTAAGATTAATTTTGTTATTCAGTGTATATATACCAAATCACGTTGCAAAATTCTTACCGAATTACTAAATGGTTTTACCGAACTATATGTAAAATGTTTTGGACAGCATACCCTAAGATAAAATCCTAGATCCGCCACCGACCGCTGCCTATGGGTGCCGCTTCCTCCTTGGAGCTGAGCACCTTGCTCATCCACTGTGCACAGGCCGTGGCCACGGACAATCGCCGCAGTGCGACCGAATTGCTGAGACAGATCAAGCAGCATTCCTCACCGAAGGGTGACGCCACACAGAGGTTGGCACGTTGTTTTGCAGAGGGATTGGAGGCGCGGCTGGCAGGGTCAGGGAGCCAGCTCTACAGGTCTCTCATGGCTGAGCGCGTCTCGGTCGTGGAGTACCTCAAGGCCTACTGGTTGTACCTGGCAGCTTGCTGTTTCAAAATGACGGCATTCAGGTTCTCCAACAGGACAATCCTCAAGGCCATCGCTGGGAGGAAAAAGGTTCACATCGTGGATTACGGCGTGAATTATGGGGTTCAGTGGCCAGCTTTGCTATACCATTTGGCGAACTTCGAGGGTGGACCTCCTGAAGTGAGGATCACTGGCATTGATCTCCCCCAGCCCGGCTTCCGCCCAGCGGTGCGGATCGAGGAGACAGGGCGGCGGCTTAGCAATTATGCTCGTCAGCTCGGTGTGCCATTCAAGTTCCACGGCATCACGGTGAGGTGGGACACAGTTTGTGTTGATGACCTGAACATTGACCCTGATGAGGTACTCATTGTCAACAGTATCATGCAGTTTGGAAATTTGATGGATGAGGGGGTCGACATCGATAGCCCTAGGGATGTTGTCCTCAGAACCATTCGCAAGATGCAACCTGATGCGTTCATCCTTCATGTCATGAATGTCTCGTTTAGCGTTCCATTCTTTGTAACACGTTTCCGTGAGGCGCTGTTCTTTTACTCTGCAATGTTTGACATGCTGGATGCCACGGCTCCACGGGATAGTCACCAGCGCTTTTTGGTTGAGCGGCACCTCTTTAGGCAGTGTAACCTCAATGTTGTTGCCTGTGAGGGCACGGACAGGGTGGAGCGCCCGGAGACATAAAAGCAATGGCAGGTGCGGAACCACCGGGCAGGGCTAAAGCAGCTTCCATTGGATCCAGATATTGTAAAGACCTTGAGGGACAATGTTAGGGTTCAGTATCACAAGGACTTTGTCATTGATACGGATCATAATTGGCTCCTGAAAGGATGAAAGGGACGCATACTCTATGCCATGTCGACATGGGTTGCAGATAATCCTGTCTCAGAACTTTAGCTGCTTTTCTCACTGCATACAGAAATATCGATAATTGCAACTATACATATATGATTCTGAATTTCTGTCTTACCAATGAACTTCATGAGCTGCTCAGCAGCTGTGGTGGAAGGTATGCATACTCTATGCCATGTCGACATGAGTTTCAGAATTCAGATGATGCTATCTCAAGACTTTAATGGCTTTTCATCACAATATACAGAGATATATGCCTCTGTGTTATGTGGTTCAACACACTTCATTTAAAGATGCTTGGATATAAGCAGTAGATGCATTAAAATGTCTTCTAATAATGTAATAGTAGATGCTTCTTTGGGTGTTCTTGTTGCATCTTATATCTGCATAGGATCTTAGATTAGTTCTCAGTGTGTTGCTGCAGAACCTGTGTAAATGTACGACAAACTGAAAGGCCACTTGTGGTACCTGTGTTGTGAAGTCCACTTTTTGTTGAAACATTGTATTCCCTTGCACCTGGAAAGAGTAAACAGACACGTGATTAAGTGTTAAAAGCGCACCTATTATTCTGTTATTCAGAGTAGTGATTTCTGCTGCTTTATTTTTTGGTGATTGTTTCAAATGCAAACTTACTGATACCATACTTTTCCCATTTTCTCTTTTTTTGAAAGAAACTTTTCCCATTTTCTACCTAGTTTCAAATTCCTGGGAACGGTTTCTGCTGAATATTTTCTGAATTCTTTCATTCAGAGTACAGTTGAAAGAGGTGTTTCTGTCTTTTTATTTTGGGGATCAAACTATGGCAGGCTTATTCAGCATACCTGACTGATTCTTTTGCTCAAAGCATAGGGAGTACAAATGATATAGCAGCATGCACAGACACAAGGGCCTTGCAAAGAAACTGTTTCTGCAATTTCAGGAGAGGTGCTGGATGGCATCTTCTTATATGTGATGATACATAGTATGACAGTTGTGATAGTTTCTGAACAAAGATGGACACCTTATGGTCATCGTAAGTTTGCAATGATCCTTTATCATTATAATTTCTTCACAGTAGTACTGGGTCACTGGCGATGGTCCTATGACAGAGGAAGAGGCCCACAATTGCACATCTGTAAATTGGCTGTCAGTTAATTTAGTACGATTCTCTACCTATTGGGATTCTCATATGAACCTTGAACTTTAGGCATCAGAGTAGCAGTGTTTGCAATATTGATACTGAGTTACTGGCTTACTGGTGCGTAGAATGCTGAACCTGCTAGGATTCCTGTAAGACTTTTGAGCTTTTGACCAAACTAGAGTAACATGGAACAAACTTCAGATCAGAGATGTTTTTTGGTTGCCTCGGTCATTTCTCACTATGTTTTCTTAAGACTATTTCTTCCTCTATCGAGTGTTCTAGCATAGAGAATCGTATCTTTTTTTTAGGGTGTAATGAGCTCACTCTATGCATCTCTGTCATGTTTATTCATTTACTTTTCAGGTTTTGTACAGTAATGGTTTTGTTCAAGAGTCCATGTTTGGAGCAGGGTATGAACACCTGAGGAAAGGTAGGCAGTCTGATTATTAGAGGCTGGCATATGCAGATCTGAAGCAGGTGCAACTTGGTCTGTCTTTTGCTCTGTCCATCCACTTTATAAATTATTCCACCTTTCTGATGCATGTTCAGCATGAACAAATACAGGTGACAGAGACAGACCACTAATCATGTATTAGGTGCAGTGCATTGTGTGTTTGCTTCGTTCTAATAGTAAGAAAATAAATAAATAAATTTTAGGAAGCCATTACTCTGTTTCAATGTAGCAGACTAGCAGGTGCCTGATACTGCAGCCTGGCACAAGAAAGGCCACGTTTAGTTGCGCCGAGTTGGCGCCGCTGAAACACTGCAGCAACACTGTTGCTACAGTGTCGTTTTGTTTTTATTTGGTAATAATTGTCGAATTGTTGACTAATTAGGCTCAAAACGTTCATCTCGCAAAGTACAACCAAACTGTGTAATTAGTTTTTGATTTCGTCAACATTTAGTACTCCATACATGTACCACAAGTTTTATGTGATGGGAAATCTTCTTTTTGCATAGTGCCAAATTCTGAAATTTGGAGGAACTAAACACCCCCAAGGTTGTTTGTTTGCAAATTGGCGTCTCCGGAGGGTCCACGGACCGGAGAAGACAAAACAAGAGTCGCAGCAGACTTCTCCATCACAGCTGCGTTTGGCCTCATCTCGGAGCCGCCGAGGTCGCATCATAATTTTTCAGAACGAACTTCTCGGCCCTTCCCAGCTTTTCCCTCTCAAAAAAAAAAAAAGGAAAAAAATTCCTTTTTTATCCACCCACCAGCAGTCCACCCCAACGGCAACCCCTTCCATTTTTTTACTATCCCACCCAGACTACCCAGCCTGACAGCCATGGCCGCCTCGCCGGAGGATTTCGTGGCTGACCCTGCCGAGCCCTTCTCCCCCTCCATCTTCCTCAACCTGCCCCCGACGCCCCGCCCCAACGGCAATGGCGAGGGCAAGAACCAGGCCTCCGATGACCTCGTGTTCCCCTTCGTCGAGCGCATGCTCATGGAGGAGGGGATCGGCGACGAGTTCTTCTACCAGTACCCGGACCACCCCACGCTCCAGCAAGCCCAGGAATCGTACACGCGGGTCCTCTCCGACGCCACCGCGGATTCGTCTTCGGACGGCAGCCCCACCGTGTTGGTGTCCTCCAGCTCCGACGCGGGAGTGGGGGCCGACGACCTCGCTACGGTCGCCAGCACCACGTCCGAGCAATTTGGGGATGCTGGCGTCCGGAGTGACGAGAGTCCGGCGCGATTGGGGGATGCTGGCGTCCGGAGTGACACCGCCGCCGCGGAGGAGATGGAGAAAAAGGCCAACCGCACCATGCTTGCAGTCGTAGATGGTGACCACGCCGCGCTGGCATCGGCATTCTTCAGTGCCCAGCAGCATTGGGGAAGCAAGGCCATGTCCTCCAAGTGAAGGAAGAGGCAAGTGCCAATTGCAGGGGCAGCAAGAACCGGCACAACCGGGACGATGTCCTAGAGGCCAATTTGTGCAGGGAGAGAAAGATGATGGCACCGGAGCCGGAGGAATCTGGTGAGGTGATTGACGAAATGATTGCCAATGGGTTCCAATTGTTCTTCAGAGAGATGGAGGGCCTCCGCATCAGTATGGGCAGCGAGGCTAAGAAGAGCAGGAAAGGGAGTGTGCGGAGCGCCAACGGAGCGGTGGACTTCCTCAAAGCCTACCGGCTGTGGCAACGGACGACCGCCGGAGCGCAGCCGAACTGCTTTGGAAGGTCAAGCAGCACTCTTCTCCATGGGGAGACGCCACACAAAGGCTGGCGCATTATTTCGCGGAGGGATTGGAGGCGCGGCTGGCTGGTGTACAATTCGCTCATGGCAAAGCACACCTCAGCCGTGGACTTCCTCAAAGCCTACCGGCTGTACGCGGCAGCCTGCTGCTTCCGAGTGGTGGCGTTCAGGTTTGCCAACATGACCATCTGCAAGGCTATTGCATGGAGGAAAAGGGTACACATTGTGGATTACGGCATACAGTACGGATCCCAGTGGCCAGGTTTGCTGAAACTTTTATCTTTATGCCCGGGAGGGCCACCGGAAGTGAGGATCACTGGCATTGATCTTCCCCAGCCTGGGTTCCGTCCAGCTTCTCGGGTCAAGGAGACAGGGCGGCGGCTTCACAATTATGCCTCTCAGGTCGGTGTGCCGTTCAAGTGGGAGACGGTTGGCGTTGATGATTTGGACATCGACCCTGATGAGGTGCTCGTTGTCAATAGCATCCTACATTTTGGAAACTTGATGGACGAAGGTGTCGACACGAGTAGCCCAAGCCCGAGGGATGTTGTTCTCAGCAACATACGGAAGATGCGACCAGATGTGTTCATCCTTTTCATCATGAATGACACATATAGCTCGCCGTATTTTGTACCGCGGTTCCGGGAGGCGCTATTCCACTACTCTGCAATGTTTGACATGATGGATGCCACGGCCCCACGGGATAGTGATCTGCGCGTTCTGGTTGAGCGTGATCTTTTTGGCCAGTGTGCCCAGAATGTCATCGCTTGTGAAGGCTTGGATAGGGTCGAGCGCCCTGAGACATATAAGAAGTGGCAGTTGCGGAACCACCGGGCAGGGCTGAGACAGCTGTCATTGGATCCCGATATTGTCAAGGCCGTGCAGGAGAGTGTCAGGGACAAATTTCATGAGGACTTTGTCACTGATGTGGATCTTCAGTGGCTCCTGGGAGGGTGGAAGGGACGCATACTCTATGCAATGTCGACATGGGCTGCAGCTGATGCTATCTCGGATTCTTAGCTGCTTTAATTTACTGGATTCAGAGATATAGTCTAGATAATGGCATCTATATATACAGTTTTTTTAGGGGCATCTATATATACGTTAGTGTGTCAATGAACTGGTTCTGCTCAGCAGCTGTATGTTTCAAGGCACTTAGTTCCAAAATGACTGGGACTAGAGTTGAAATTTACATGGTAGAAACAAGTTCAGACATAATGTCTTGTAATGTAAAATTCGATGTTTATTTAGATTAGATGGTCCTATTGCTGCTAGAGCTACATTGTATGTTAGATATGATTCCTGAGTGTTGATCATGCTGAGCTTCTTCTTCCTTTTTTTTTGAAACATGTAAAGATAGTGAACTTATGTTAATGTGCAACAAATTGGAGAACAACCCTCCTTTTGTTTTATTGCTGTATGTTATTCTGTGACTGAAAAGCAAATTTGACTCGCATGTGATGAGATATATGATTTGTGATGTCCATTTCGGCTGTGACATGGTTTTTTGGTGCT